TACCTTTCTTTAACCTACTCTACTTTAGTATCTTATCTAGATTATCTAGGGTAATATAGTATCTCGTAATAATAATCGTAATAATAAACCTAACTTATACGGTTGCTATTATAGAGATAGCCTTTATAATACTATCCTTCGACCGTTAGCTAGGGGGTAGATTACCTATATAGTACTTATGCTTCGGTAGATTTATTACCGCTTCCTTTTCGATCTTAATCTATCGTATATAGGTTGCCTTTATACTAGTAAGCTGCGCTTTATCTAGGAGGCTCCTACTAATATATCCGTTAAGAACCTCGTCGTCTAATATCTCGCTTTTATTAGAGTTAATAATAATTAGTATAGTGCTTAAGGATAGCGTATTCGTCCGTAGCGGCATTAGTGTCGCCCGTATAATCGGTTTATTCGAAGGTGCCGGCGGTATTAGGTTATAATCGCTATAGAAGTAATATTTCTTATTATCTAGTATATACTTTATATAATCGAATTAGGGCTAAGTAGGGTATATACGCTTCTATACTTTCTTTGCTTGCTTCTTAGAACCTATTAGTATAAAGCGGACTCGTAGATATAGCGTCGTATATGTTCGTATAAAGGAAGGAATATTATCTATAGAAAGGGGGTTAGAGGAGAATTTTAGTAAAGGGGCAACCCTTTATCGCTCTATAGGTATAACTACGTAAAGACGGGGGATAGAGCGTACGCTACTTAATAAGTATTATATAGATATATAGGCGTATAAATTTATTACATAGTTATTATAGAGTTCTTATAGAGATTATAGCCGGGGCCGCTAATACTAGTAGGGATAGAAGTATATTAGCTATATATCCCCGGTATATATAGTCCTATTAGAGCATTAGAACGTAACGTAATCCTATTATACCGATAATCTATTCCGACTTATCCGACTAATAATTAACCTCCGATATATCGCTATTACTACTTTCCGAGTTATCCTCTTTTAAAAGCTCTCTATTAATTAAACCCTCTAGTGCCTTCTTAAGCTCTTTACGCGAGCGGTTATTATCGCACTAATCGCGAAACGCTTATATAATATCTTCTAAGTCGATATAAAATCCTTCCTACTTCCTACCGCCGCGAGGAATTAATATCTTATATAGTATATCCTTAGGAACCTTACGTAGCTCTTCTACGAGGTTCTTATATACGATCTAGTACTACGGCTTTTATACGCTTAGTATAAACTTATACGAGCTTAGTCGACCGAGCGGAAAGCCCTTTATCTTTAGAATACTTAAGTAGAGCTTAAGCATCTCTTATAGAATATACTCCTTAGAATCTATATATATTAGCAAATAATTTAAGATCTATTATATGCGTTCGCTAGTATAAACGTACCCTACTTTGCGTAAGCTTTTATAAGACTATTAAAGTAGGCCTTATCGATTAGATACCTAATACTTAGCCTTCCCTCCTTCTCTRCCTAGTTATAGCGATAGCTTAGTATACTACCCCTTACGTGCGGTCTATTAGATTATCTTCGTACGGGGTACTTATTCTATATATATATTAACGAGGCTAGTTCTTTCTGCATAATAGGTATATAGATATACTTTATAGCAATGCGGTTAGCCTTCTTTGCTTTATAAAACTACCCCTTCTTCTTTAATATTATAAAGAAGCCCTATAATATTAAGATTAATTAGCCTAACCCGTATAATTAGATTCGGATATAACGGGAGCGTTACTAAAGTATATATAGATAATATGCTTTATATACTTATATACTATGCCTTAAACCTTCCTCGTATAAGCTAGCCCTACTATACCTCGATACGGACATTAGTAGTGCTTGTTCTAAATATAAAGTAGCGGCGAAAGCGTACTTTACGCCTACGAATAATCCTTATATATTAGTATTAAGCCTACGCTATAAGGAGTGTCTCTTTACCCTTATCTATCCGAATAATATAAGGTACTCTCGTAAGCTTTTTATAAGCTTTCGTAAAGTTAGATAGCATAGATACTATTATACGGGTAGAGGATCTAAGATAGGTATATAGAATAAACCGTATATCTGCATTAATAGCAGCATAGATCTAAAAGCTATAGTCCTTAAGTTTATAGTGTGCATCTATACTCTAGACTGCATTAGGGCTAGGCGTAATATACTTCCTACGGCGACGTATAAACTTCGTAGCCCTATTATACGGGCTAGCGGGATAGACCTCGCGGGCTATCTCGTATAGTCGCTTCCTACGATATAGTAGTATATTAGCAAACCCCTTTCTACCTTATAGATATATATCGTATAAATATACTAACCTACTAAGCGTAAGCCGCGTACGATCGGTTATACGGAAGTATATTTATAGTAATATTGTTCTATATACTCTAAGGTTCGAGCGATTAATCTCCTTCTTTATAATCTTTTTATATTCCTCTTAACGCTTAAGGAACTCTCCTTCTCTTAGTCGTTTCTTAATRCCTATACTCCGCCGAAGCCGTATAAAGGTATAGTACTTAATCGYAAATCCCTCCTCGTTTAATTTATCTACGATATACGTATCTAGTAGAGCTTYRAGGTAGAAGAGTTCGGCTATTCGGATGCGAAGGAGGGGATTATYRTAAAGAYTATTCTTTAAYRACTATCGGGGTTCGCTACYRTTCTCTACGACGATTATACGRATAGTCCGTTCGGAGGTATATAGCTATTATAAATAGAGGAAGGTTTAAATATCGGTAATACTCGTATTATTATTCTAGAGTTTAMCGACTTTTAGATAAAGATTAGGGGGGATAGAAGGGGAGCGGCCTATTATATAGAATATGCGTATAATAGGGTAGAGGRTAGACGGGAAAGGAATTAGCGTAGTAAGAGGTTATAAACCTTAGCGAAACCTTTGCTAAAAACTATAGGGTTAGGGTTAGGGTAGTATATTTCTTTAATGTAGAGCGATAGTAATATAAATCGTAGGATATTTATAGGGACAAATTGTACGAACGTATAAAGTAAGGAGGAGTTATATTTTAGGTGTAGAAGCAAGTAATTATAAAATAGAAAATATATTTTAAAAGTAGTTTTTAAGTGCTACAATTAAGGCCCTCGTAGAATGCTTTAATTAATACGTATACTACCCCTCGCTCTCCTCCGCGGGGAAGCTAGAGGGCCCTACTACTAATATTAGTACTATAGCACCCTCTACTACCCCTAAACTATCTTAATTAGGACGATATCGTTCCTACTATATCGGTAAGTAGTCCGTRTAAAAGGTGTTGTTTTTTCTAACCTCTAAGAAGGAACCGTACGCGCGTATT